GGGAAAGAGGGCTTGGTTCAGTCTCAATCAGGCCTAGTGGTGGGTGGTGGAGGAGGCATAACTTGGCCCTGATACAGCCCCATAGGAGGAGACATAGCCTGACCTCACAGGAGGAAGGGGGCATGGCCTAGCCCCACTCTGACTAGGTGGTGTGGCCCAGCCATGTGACATGGCCTGGCTCCCAACCAGCTAGTCTAGCTCCATGGAAAGAAGAGACGTGGCCTGGCCCCAATGCAGCCATGCATAGGGAAGGGAGCATGGCCCAACCCTGATCTGCCCATGAGAGGGAGGGTCATGGCCTGGCTCTGTTCCATCATGTGGGGCTTGGGATTTTGGCAGTAGGGTGGGGTGGTAGTATTAACTGCCAACTGCTCCCCTGTCACCAAAATTCCTGATCCATGGGGAGCCTCATTCCAGATTCCAATGCTCTGCAGGCCTACCATGGGCCAGAGGTTGAGCACTCCTGTTCCTGCTCAATGATAACATGAAAATCAATTGTGTTAGATGTTTGAACATCTAAAATATGATAAAATTCACAGATAACCTTTTGGAAATCACTAATGCAGAAGTCAAATGTGGGTTCCTCCATGTACAGGCAACCCCTGCTTAATGCTTTTAATTGGTTCTGGGAAAACTGAGTGTTAAGCAAAACGATGTTAAGCAAAACTCATTTCCCCATAGGCATGAATGTAAATAGAAATAATTGGTGACTGCTGCTTCTTATCGTAGCTTCTCACCATCACTGATGCCTCTCCCCACCCCTCCACCTCCCTGCTGGCCGCTCCATGTGCCAGCCCATGTCTGTGCTCCTGCCGGCTCTGGCACCACAGGGCCCCGCACTCACTGCTTCTCTCCACCACCACTTCTCTGGCCCCATGTGCCAGCCCGCAGCCCATGTTCTTGCTGGCTCCGGCACTCTGGCAGGGTCCCCGCACTCATGCCTGCCCCCCACTTGCTGCTTCTTGCTGCTGCCACTTCTCCCCACTTCCCCTGCTCCTGCTGCCCTGCCCTGGGCCCCTGCTGGAGCCTACCCACTCACTGCCACTCACCACTTCTTGCCGCCGCTGCTGCTTCACTGAGCGCTATAGCAAAACCGGCTCAGCGCTAAGTGAAATTAGGTATTAATTTTAAATGAGCACTATAGCAAAATAGCGCTAAGTGAAACCGCATTAAGTGGGGGTGGCCTGTGTTTGGCAGCCCCATAATAAAAGAGCACACCAAATTACGTGATTCCATCTGAACATGAACTTGGAAATGAATTGTGTCAGACAGCTACCTGCTAAAAGCATCCGTAGAGCAGATAATATCTATTCATACCTAGGAAGTTGGAGACAGTTGACAGAGTCAGGTTTTTCTAGAGATGCATTGTTATCCATGCCAAAAATACTGCAGTTTCTAGCAAAATACTGCCAATCTTCCCAGCTTAAATCATTTCTCCTTTTTCTTTGGATTCTTATTGCTTGAGGCTGTGGGTTAAAGAACTGGAGTATGATATAAAACACCTACAAATAAATAGCAAAATACAGACCTGGAATTAGTAGTGCTTCAGCTGCATACTTACAGGAATACAAATATTAAATATATGTTTTTTTCCCATATATGGTCATGTCACTCATTTCACAATCTATACAACATTCTTGCAGGTTGAAATAAAAAATATCACACACCAAAACATCTATTATTTCCTGTATCTCCTACCAGTTTAAGAGTGAAATGAAAACTTCTTTGTTAAACAGGGTCTCAGGTCCTTCAGGCATTATTACAGAGTCACTTGCTAGAGGCTGGAATCATTCCTTTGCAACTGATCTTCATAACTTCCTGAGGCCTACTTGAAATTATGACTTACTTGTATAGTCTATGATGTTAACAATATTTTGGCCAAAATATAAAGGAATAATTTGTGTTTCCAAACGGGCACTGGGTAGCTGTTTTTGTATTGTTTTGCTTTTTTTGTTCTTGCTGTTTTGAAGTCCATCTATTTTATCACTTCCCCCTGCCTTTGGTTAGGAACCACATCAAATACCTTTGACTCAAAAGGGATTCTCACACACCATATTGTTGCATGAGCAATGGTGACAAGCATCCCCATACATAAGTTATAGATCAATTGAGCCTTATTATTTCACAGATAATTAAATGACTTTTAAATAAAGAAAATGTCTTACACACTGTTTAGCATCTATCCTCATATTATTCTCCTTTTCACATGCCCCTAATAGACACAACTCATTAAAAGCTGGTGAGAAGAAGCTTTACAAATATTAAACCCAGGGACAGATTCACTTCTGCAGGGGCCATGAGCACAATTTACAATGCCTGCTTCTGTGGAACCAGTTCATTCACAGAGAAGGCCAAGCCCTTGCCTACAAAAGACAGTAATCTATGAAGGGAAACAAATATGCTCCAATCAGAACTCAAGCTGGTTTGCCTGTCCTCACACCTATCTGATATTAGACAACCTCTTCTTATCAGGATCTAGGGCAGTAAGCAGCTTACTTGAGTGGTAAGGTACTTGTCTGCATGATCCTGGCTGCCAGTGGCATACCTACCCCCAGCTGGCCCCAGCTGCATGCATAAATGTGGCTTCCTGAAAGAGTTCTTCCAGTGCCCAGCAAGGAACCTAACAGGACACATGTCTCTCTGGATAGACTTGGGTTTCTGATATCTCATTCTTAGTTTCCAGGTTCCTTTCTTTGATTCCAAGTTTCCCAGTTGCTGTGTCCTGCCTGTCTATTTCTACATTTTACTTGACCCCTTGTGCTCCAGTTTCCTAGGTTCTTGACCCCTTGTGCTCCAGTTTCCCAGGTCCTTTAATCCTTGTGCTCCAGACTTCCTTGTCATCTCCTTTACCCCTGTGCTCCATACTCCAGTTCAAACACCTGTCCATTGCTCACACTGTGGTCCTGTACTGCTATAGCTGTTGACTCTGGACCTCTTGGCTAGTGATGCTATTCTGGATCCTATCTCCTGTTCCTGACCCTACCTGGCTCATGGTTCTGCCTAGGGTGGTCACTTACATTCTGGTCCCTTATAGACCTTGGTCTCTGAGCCACCCGCACTGATCACCTGACTATAAGGGAGATGTTTTCCCCCAGACTTTGTTTGTTCCTGATCCCTTGGGTTATAATCCCCTGGGATCAAGCCCTGACTCCCTAGATCCCAGTTTTACCCCTGCCACTTCTGTAGACTTCACTACCCAGTTTCATGTACCTGACAAAGCAGGTTGTACACAGTTTTCACTGCTATACACTCCTGAGTAGATATTTTACTGTACCTGGCTTTCAGTCCTGAATGTGTGAAATGGGCTTTTTGAGTTTCACCCGAAATTAAGACTAAAAATTACAACAGCAATGGAAAATCAACATTTAGTTTATAAACCATAGGAATTGCAATACTGAAAAAGAACATTGGTGCACTTGGCCCAATACACTGTCTCTAACACTAGCCAAGGCAAAAACATAATATACCTTGTCACTATTTACAGTGCTATATCTAGGAAAGGGAAAATTTCCCAGCCCCTTAAATGCTGGGTTGACATCTCAAAGCACAGTGTTTGAATGTATCTGCAATTCTAATACAATGCACTGTAATCCTCTTCCTAGCTTTTCTTTAACATAATCAGCACACATTGGCTGAATTCTATTCTTATGCACCAGTTATAACAAAGCAAAACATCATCTCCTCATTACCTGATATTGTCCATTTTGTAAATCTATTGTGATGATAACACCACGGTTCAGATGTGTTACATTAGTAAATACAGAAGAAATCCAAGAGGTCCCAATATCATCATCATTGATATAATGCAGAGGATGGGCATCTGGGTTCAGTCTCAGCACTCTGTCATTGGTTGTATCATCTGCACCATTAGGGATGCAATATCTTGGAACCAAAGGGTGAACACGAGGATGACTGTTAGGACAGTGGCACTCTGACTGTGTATGCAGGTGAGGAAATTCTCCAGAGATTCCCTCCAAAATGTCCCTGCCACAGCACATATAAAAATTAAATTAGGTATTTTTAATGATATCAAATTAAAGAAACAATGAATGGTATTGTGTGTATTTAAGATTATAGATTAAATGCAAGTCCCGGCATTAATCAACACAATAAATGTGATCAAAACAGAACATCATTAAAAGTTTTCTGTTGCAACAGTATGTCCGACACTGCTTACTAATCTTTCCTCAAAACTGACAGCTCTGACATATTATCTGTAATTTTTATTTTGTTAGTCCACTTGAATTTTCTGAGAAGACGTCCAATTTTCCAGATATAATTTTGCACTCTCAAAAAACATCAGTAAACTTTTTCAGAAGTGATCACTAATTTTTGGATGCCTGATGCCATTGTTGCTCAAATGAACCCAAAGGAACAGATCCTATTCCATCTACTGAGCATGTAAGCAGACTTAAAGACTTAAGTGCAATTCTGTTCCACCCTGTTCAAGCCCCTGAAAAATCCATTCATATATCTACTTTTGTAAGACACCATCATCTTACCCTCAAAAATGAGTCATGAAAAAGCAGAAAGGAGGTGAAGGACCCACCTATTTTTGTGGATCTTCCACAAAACTTACACCCACAAAACTGGATGCAAAGCAGATTTCCAGCTGTGAGAAATTAGAACAAGCTGGATAGGGAAGCTATAGAAACCTCTCTTGGTCATGGTTTTCAAAAAGAGGCTGGATGAGCCTCTGTCTGAGATGGTTTAGGAGCAATGAATCCTGTATTTGAATAGAGGGTTAGACTAGATAACCCCTGAGGTCCCTCCCAACTCTGTAATCCTATGGCTTAAAATAAAGCCCTTCAACTTCTAAACTATGCTCATTTGACAAAATCAAATCTATGTTTTACTTTGTGGGATATAGCAAGAATTGCCCTAGGAGAATATATAGCTTGTGTATTTAGGACAGAACTGGGTAGATCTGTAACTAAGAACTCCATTTTGTAAAATGCTTTGAGTATGTCTACGCTTGTCTGAGAGTAGCTTATTATAATGTATTTCAAATAGCTGCCATATTCAGAAAGAATGTTTGACACCTTGTTGAATGATTATCACTAAGAATCCACTGAGACTATAGTGTGCAACCATCAGCTTTCATTGTCTCTCAACTGCTGTCCCACTTTCATGAAACAAGGGTTTTTGTGCTGACAGGCCTGCATGAATGGAGCAGGACTGGCCTTTCCTCATGAAACACATGGCAGAGATGCAGATGTTGCTGTGGGTAGCATGCTAACCATTGCCACGTGTAAGGCAGGCATTTAGAAAAGAGTGGATGCTGTTGATCCTGAAATGCTGACAAACTTCAGACTCATTAACAGGATGAACTCAGACGAGAGAAGAGCAAATACATATACTGTACCATATATATACTGTATGCGTATTACATCAGTGTTTCGGCCACAGACACAGTTTTAAATGTTTTTTCTACGTACCTCAAGGTACCAGGTGGCTCATGAATGCTCCGATGGTGGGGTGGATGGAACATCCCACAGAAGCATGGGGGGAGGGGGAGGTGCAGTCCTGCATGCTCAGCAGTGAACCTGGAAGTGGACTGGAACTACTTCCAGTCCACTTCCGGGTCTGCCAGGGAGCACATTGGGCCCCGCCCCTGCGCCCCTCCTCCAGCTCAGCAATCAGCCACGGGGGGGTACTTCAGGTGCCTCCCCAGACCCAGGAGGCACCAGTCACCAAACCAGGGAGGCACAGTGGAGGCCAGAAGTGCTTCTGGTCCACTTCTGGGTCTGTTGCCGAATGCACTGGGGACTCCCCCGTGCTCCTGTCGCCTCACCAGTCGCCTCACCATTCCAGCACTGATGAGCCGCCTGGTGCTTTGAGTTATGTAGAAAAAACATTTAAAAGCTGTGTCTATGTCTGAATCTCCAAATCTTTCCAAATTGGGGCCAAATTTCCGCCAAATCAAATTGGGGACCGAAGCTTCGCATAGATCCAATATATGGTATTGATATAAATATTGAGAAACTTTACTCTTCTGAGCACTCGAGTTGGGGCTGGGAGGAGGTGGGGTGGACCGTACTACTGATATCAGTACTACGGTCCACCCCACCTCCTCCCAAAACTAACTTCAGGGCTTAGAAGAGTAAAGTTTCTTCATATCTGTACTAAACAATTCCTTTAGCTGATCTTATATTCATTGTTTACCTGCCACGTTATTTCTGAAGAAGTGAAACTGGAAGCCTGAAGCACTGAGAGCCTCAGTGAAACCCTGGCAGAACTTAGGACTCAGACACTGATTTCAGGATCCAGGGCAGGTAAGGGGTACTTCATATCGCAAAAAGAAGGGTATCAGACAAGAAGGCTGAGTTCAGGAACACATCCCACAATCCTGGAGCTAGAATCTGTGCCTAGATAGTGCCAAGATCTAATTGACTTGGAGGAAGCGAGTCCCAGAGATTAGGTTTATTGTCCAAAGACGTTACTGTCTATACTGAAAGGTACTAGGGCAGCAGGTAATAGTGCTAACACACAAACAGCAAAGATACCACAGAGTTACTATCTATTGTTAGGAGTCACTGCCTATATTTAAGCAACATTCAAATGTTCAATTGATTTCCAATGCTGCACCCTGGACTTACATCACTTCAAGTCTAGATAGGGAAAAGCCCTATTTGAATCCATAACCAGTGAGCTACACCACCAAATACACATATTGTCTAAACAAGATTATGGAAAAGCCATGTATTTTGGTGGAACAAATGTATCATTGTTACATATTCTCTCCATTTCTGATCACACACCTATATTTTTCAAGAATAAAGTTTGTTTACCTGTTTGTAAGTGCCACTTGGTACCATCGAAAATCTTGCATCCTTCCAACAAACTGTTCTAAACCTATGAAAATATATTATAAATAATCTAAATCATCAACCAGAAGGCAGTGCTGCACTGCATGAGAGCACCTTTAATTCAGCACACCATGATCTCTCTTGCACAATTACCTCTCCTGAATGAAACCATCTTGGACCTGGACAAAACTATAGAGGGCATTGACTTAATTTTTTTGATAAAAAAGAATGATTTATAATAACTTTATAGGAACATTTTGTAGCCATCTCTTTTCTGATTAGAGAGGAGGCACAAGGACCGGCTCATTAGACAGAAGTAATGAGCCAGCCCATGTGCCACCTCTAATTAGAGAAGAGATACAGTAGGTACAACTGTACCTATCAATTTATACAATAAAGATAAAAGGATTTTTTTAAAATATATATATCCCTTTCCTTGTTGTACCCTTAAGCTTTCTAGTACTGAAAAATCAGAATGACAACAAAAGAGAGTTCCAGAGTTTAAAAAAAAAAATCAAGATATATAATGACTTTTGTTGGTTGTCCAGAAACAAAACAACTCTGTTAATGCTATATGAAGTTATATTTAGGAGTTAGCTCCAAATTACTGGGTGTTCTGGATCAGTGGTACTCATACTTTTCATATCTGCTGAGCCAATTCATCAAACAGATTTGTGGAGAGCCACAAAACAACAACACCCTGAAGTTGAGCTGCACTGTTTCTGCCATGCTGCAAGATGTGCATGATTCTGGACATAGATGTGTACTCTTTAAGTGAACCAGGGAGCGCTGAGGGACTCCAGCCTCCACAGTGAATGACATGACCTTTTGGAAGAAGGCAAAGGAATATTAAGAATCAGGAATATCAAGTTCTATTCATGTTTGTAGAGCAGTGGAGCCTTTTGGCCCCACAGGTCAAATGAGTTCTTACACTACAGGGAGTCCCCAGTAGCTATAGCAGGTATAGCCAGCTCCCATGGGCCAGATTAGACCCCATGTCCTAGGATCAGGCCACACACTAAGATCTAGATCAGGGGTAGGCAATGTTTTTTGGCAAGAGTGCTGAAAAAACCACGTCTACCTTGGAAGGTGCCAGAGTGCCGACATGCTGGAGCCCTGAGCAGCTGTTTGCAGCCTCCCGGCTGCAGCTGGCCCATGGAGCCTGATCTGCTTGCAGCAGGGCTTACAGCAGAGTGTGCAGCCTCCTAGCCACCTGCTGAGAGCAGCCTGGGCTCCATGGCTGGCAGCAGCTGCTTAAAGCCCGGGCTGGCGGTGGTGTGCCAAGCAAAATGGCCTTGCTCGGCACACACACACGCATGCCAGGGATTACTGATCCCTGTTCTAGACCGTGCTATCCCTACCCAGGCCTGTATGCTGGGATCAGGGTCCTTGGATCCACACTGCCTCAGCCCAGTACCACGTGTGAGGATTGGGGCCCTAGGGCTCCATGCAACCTATGCCTAGCCCCACTCCACTTTGCACACCAGATCTAGTAGGCAGGGTCATGGCCAGAATGACTTCTCACTACGGGAAATCCTGCTGGCCAGATGACAAGGCACTGGGGGCCAGATTTGGCCCACAGGCTAAGACTTGAGCACCCCTGTATAGAGAATAATGTTGATTAGGGACTACAAACTCCCCAAGTAAGCAAGAAGTTTGGGCATGCTTATTCTGAAAGGAGACAAGGGAGAGTTGCTATTTTAAAGACCCAGCTTCTGGATAGTGGTGGAGCACTACCTACCTGTGGTAGTCTTCCTGACCATTAACCAGTATACTCTCCTGATCTGCCAATTTTTTGAAGAACGTCAGCTACTAATACACAATGTTTCTGGCATGAAGCGGCATGCCTGGCTTTCAGTATGCATTACGAGACTAAAAATTGACTTACACATTCTCTTTTTTAGACACACATTAAGCATGTGATAGTCTGAATGTACAGCTTCACAATATGAAAATGCTATGGGATTTACCACTGAAGCTTTGCCCAACTTGCAATGCACCATCAACAACAGGGTCAGCAATTTGTCCATGAAGTATTCTTGTATCAAAAGCTGTGTTGTCATCTTCCACACCATTTATGAAGAAACTGATCCTGGTGTGGTGCACCTATAGGGATACATAGAAAGGGGCAAATAAGTATTCTTCATAAAGAACCTAGTTGCATCTAGTATTAATTGCTCATTAACAACCATTTTGCACTAAGAGCAGCAGATATTTTTTGTCTTGGTGTGTATTACAACTACTGGCCCCTTTTCCACATTCACTGAATGATCCTCAGAATAGTTATCTGAATAACCTGAATGTGGGTGCATCTACATGTGTGCTTTACTGTGGACCTTACCAATAAGCTCCGCAGTAAAGCATCACTGTCTACACATGCACCTGTATTAGGGCACAGTAAATTAATTAACTCCGCTGTAGGATAGCACTGTCCAGGACAAGCTATTTCCTGCAGCAAAGTAGTTATGTATGCCAAAAAAAATGTATACAGGCACATGCCTACTGGTTACTCCTCACTGGAGCACCCTCATGCCCCAGCCTCATGCTCCTCTACAGCATGTTGAGCCAGGGCAGAACAGCCCCGGGCTGGTAGGCTGACCTGGGTCCCCTGCCAGCCTGAGGCTGCTCCACCCTGGCTCAAAATGCTGCAGTCCCAGGCTTACATGTAAATGTTGCGCCCAGGAGCAATAAACTGGTGCAAACTGCACCAGAGTTTATTTCTTTGCCCTAACTGCATGTGTAGATGCACCCTGTTCTTCAGAAAGAAAGTACTATAGTGGTGAAATGGGACAGCAATCTACAACAGAGGCAGATTCAGAGATGTGTTTGACTAAATCAAGGAAATGCAGAGTCAAGGCTTTTTATCCATTCCCATTTGACTCTATTAACACTTCAGTCTGAGATCAGGACTTCACACCATAATCCTAGTTGTATTTCTCCCCTTGAAAGAGAGGACATTTCAGCACATCATTCTCAGAACATTGAGTAAATAAGAATAAGAATATAGTATACATCTAAGAATCCCAAAGCATGTTACAAACATTATTTATATCACGTGATACTCTTGGTATATATGTATTATTCCCTTTTTAAATTCCTTTAAAGAGAGAGAGAGTGAGAGAGAGAGAGAGACTTCTGTTAGATTTAGTAACAAAGTACAGAATTTACATTTAAACTTTCTCTTATCACTTCCAGACAGAGTGACTGAGTGTGCATGAATAAGTTACATGCATGAATAAGTGTTTGTGTGACTGGAGCCCTCACTTATCTCCTTCACTTAAGTCCTTCTGCACCAGGACTCTGGCAAAAGCTTTGGGGAAATTAGTGCTCCTTCTGTGTAAAGTTACAGTCCATTCCAAGTAAAATATATTGGATTCATGGATGTATTTTTGCTTTATCACCATAGTGATCTGACACACAGTGAATTCATGTACCTGTGGGGATTCACCATGCTATGGTCAGTCTGGACTATTTTCAAATTTGCTTATCACAAATAATTATGGCTGATTTTGAAACAGATGGCCAAATTGAGGGAGGAAAAGGCAGTAGCACCAGGATGCTGGTTACAACTGATTTCTGCAGCCTCAAGTAGAAATAAGGGTAGTCTGGGAATTCTTCTATGTAGTGCCATCTAATGTGGGCCTCACAAAGCTGTCTATCAGGATAGTGTAGTCATGTGCAGCACATTCCAAGAAGGCCTCTGGCACAGATACCATGTGCTTCATCACTTCTCAACATACTCTTTTTTAAAGGGGCAGCAGCAAGAAATGTAGGAGCTGGGTATACCTGCTATAGCTACTGGGGAATGAGTTCCTGTACCGTAAGAACCTCCTGGGTGCAAACAAGCATTTTTGGGATCTGGCTCGATCTAGGTGGCTTAATTTAAGCTGCCTCAATGTGAGTCAGGGTTGCTGCATGCTAGCCTTTGCTGCTGGCCAGGACAAGGCAGCAGAAGGCAAGTAGGTTGGGGTACAGTAGAGTAGGCAGGTTCAGAGTGGGTAGCAAGTCTGTAGGGACTGCTGGTGGGTCCATGGGGGGGTGCTGTCTGGCACGGAGGTGGGGTTCAGTTGGAGGGAGGTAAAAATAGCCCAACCAGGGTCAGGGGGTAAAAACAACACAGCCTCGGGGCCATGGAGAGTGGCTCAGCTTTCCAAGCCCTGGGGTTATGCTGTGAATGCATGCAAGTGTTCGTTAGACCAGATTAACCCTTGCTAGATTGAGTTAACCCTATGCCAATCTCAAATTAGTTCTTTGACGAGAACCAACTTTATATGGGGCACGCCATTGTTAAAGAGACCTAAGCTCTGCAAATGCTCACACATCCTGGCATTTAGATCACCCTAACCTTGGTTAAGGCAATCTAATGTAATGCTTGTACATACACTTTGTTAGGAATATGCAGTTGGTCTACACTACAGAGAAGTGTTTTCTCTTCATGCATTTTTTTCCTGCCAATTCATTTTAAATTTAAGCTAACATCCAGAGAAATAGTAGCAGGAGTCTCCTAGCCCTACTAATTCATAAGATACTGAGCTCTTACAAGGTATTCTTTGTGTCAGGAATATTCTTGAGTTTAGGCATTATGAAATTAGAAAGGATCAATAATGCATAGCTAGCTTTCAGGTTTTGATTTTATGGAGGTCAGAATTTTCATCCGAAAAAAATGGCAAAATGCATGAAATAAAAATAAATACTTTCATCCTCCATGCCTTATAATCAGATTTCCTGAGCTTAATTAAACAAATTAAACACAACTCATTCTAAATTTACAACCTCTCTGTTTACTAGGCTAACAGATATAAAAAACTTATCATTGAAAACTTCATCACTTATGCAACTGATTTACTTGCAAAAACATTCAAACCTGAAATTACTGTGTTTAACAATATTTAGCTTGCATCAGGTTTCAATTAACAGTTTGGTGAGCTTCAGAATTTGAAACATTATTTCATTGTTGCCAGTTATAGAATGTTATTTCCATCTTGCAGAAACAGGTAATCATGAACTTAAATGGATGCTTGGTGAATCATTTCTGTAGGTAGAGGCCAAGAGAGGCTAGAGTGCTCTATCCTGCCTTGATATCCACTCTAATCAAATCAAATAGGGCCAGAATAATTGCATCCCTAAGAATACTGGATGTGCAAGGACAAACAAAAGGCTTATAAGCCAGAGTAATTTGGTGCAAAAGGAGGGCTAGAACCTGAAATATTCATTTTGAAAATTGGTGTAAATGTTTAAAATGCTATTCCATCAATAAAGCCTTGCAAATTCTGGCCAAGATAAACAGCCACAATTATCTGTAAATCTAAGATTGAATGATTATCAGCAGTGCTTCAGCCCTCAAGATTCTTTTAGTTTTTTAAATACCAAAATATGAAAAAAGTAGAAAATTAATTTTACAAAGAATCTAGTGTTCATGTTACACATAAAATAATATATATTCTTAGTTACATTATTATTTTCAGATGCAGTCCATATTTGTCAAATTTAGACAAGAGAATTTGTCCATCTACCACACACACACACACTCTGAAGGTTATCATCGTAATTAGTAGCCCAGGATTGTTCAGAAAGTTGATCTTGCATAAGGGTTTACCCACAATAAGTATCTTTGTTTTCCTTTTAAGTTAGCTTTTTTGGTTGACACATCAATGACCCAGACACAAGATTTTATTTCATTTTAATTCAAAGCCTTTTTGAACATCTGATGCCCTGTTCACAAAAGCCTGTGAGTACGCATGTATAGGATGGTTGCATTGCATTTTTTTTTGCATCACATTTTTTACAGCCTGTTACTGTCATTTGGTGTTTGACTGTTATCATTATAAAAGATACAGGCTTTTCTACTTTGTTATTTGTAGCATTATCTCATGTTTTACAACATCTTTGCACTACATGCAGGCACATGAAATATAACTAGCAAAAAGTTCTCAGTGGTATTAATGCATAAAAAAGAATGTGGTTCCATCTCTACTGTCTTTACCCAGCCAAAAGCTGATGAACAGCCAATTTTCCTTTATCACATTAGCACAGCCATGAGGGAAACACATTTGTTCTAGTCAGCTACACTAAAGATACTATTACCAATCTAACATATACATGTTTTATATCAGCAGTATTCTCAGAGTATGAGGGAGCCAACAATATATTAACACTAGCATGACAGTTTATTTAAGAAAAGAAAATTGTCTCTGTAGAGGGACAGAAGTTAGAAATGTATGGCTAAAGCTCAGTGTCACTGGTCTAATAAAGGTAATAATTCTTAAGCTTTCTTTATAGCAGGTAACACTCCTGTGACAGCTCTGTCATATCATTCAAATAAAAATGTTGTCTTTTACAAGTTTAAGTGCACCTTTATTTTTAGTCAGAAACAAAGTCTGTTTTTTTATTTTCTCTCTTCACTGTATAGCGTCAGCCCTTGGAGTTCAGAATTGGCCCACTCACTCCCATCAACTCATTGCAAATTTGTTCTCTTATACCATTATAGTTACACTAAGAGCCCAATTCTGCACACTCCTTAACACTGAAAAGTATGTTATCATCCCAGGTTCCTATTAAAATCAATGAAACTATTAATGAAATAACATTGGCTGAATTGGGCTCTAAATGATCAGATATTTTTACTTGTTGAAAATAGGTGATTAACGGCAATCTTAAATCGCTTTCCAGCTTTTCCCCACCCCCACCCCCAATCTCTTTATATTAAATAGGATTTAGAATAGTTGGGTTTAATATAGCACATCCCCAAGGTAGCCCTAAGCACTTTACAATGCTGAATTGGATATCAGTAGTGCAGTGACTGTGTAAGGCAAAGGCAGCAGTCATTATGCATTTGGCAGTAGCTCAATGTAATGATCCCCCTGCTGGTTATTAAAGGGGGTATGAATATCTGACATGGGAGGAAATTGTAGGAGGGAAACCATGTGTAGTATGAAAAATCCCAGTGGCTCTCCAGTGTGGGAGGAGGGGAATGTTTCAAAGTTTGGTGTCAGTGTAGACCAAGCTAAATAAGACGGAAGCTTGGCACTGAATTGGCTGTTTGATGTGGTTATTTAAGGTCTCCTGCCCATTAGCATTAAATTACACATAAAACCGTGAAACTAAAA